CCCCCCCCCAGTTCTTCAGGAGGAGCACACCCGAGTGAAAGCCCACCTGTGTCTGAGGGTAGAGAGAAAGATAGAGAGGGTGAAAGAGTAAGCATGCTGTTAATCAACACACTAGAATTGTAACATCATTTAAGTTTAGTATGTTGGAAATCCAAAATGTCACAGCCTACTCCCTAGCAGTAAAACTTCCTTTTTAAAACAAAAACAAAACCAAAAAGAAGCTGAATCAGTAGGAGTGTTCTACCTCAGCTTAGTTGTAAATGAGGCATTCAGATAAGCAGGCCCAAAGCATCCCTTCTTTAGATAAACAGTGGAGTGAGGCTTCAGGGGACGGTGCTCTGGGATACAGATCATTGTTTCCTATAAGCATTGCACAGCTGTTTATCTTCACATTGTTTGGCCTGTGGGGGAGGGGGTAATTGTTTCCTGTGATCATTATAAAACCTTTTGCTGTTGTTTTGTTTCGACACATAGTTTCGGGTCTGTAACTTGCTAGATTTTCACTGGGCTTGGATAGCAGTCCAGAGGGAGCAAACTGCTGTCGCCACTTGCAGAATAAACTTTTTTTCAATCAACCTGGGCTCTGTCCGTGGCTGAAATAACGGCAGGCAATCCTGGACCTTGTTCCTGGCACCGGGAAGACCAGGATTGCCTGAGCTGCCATCTGGGGGGAGCAAACTTGTGGCTACTCACGCAGTGGGGGGACAGAGACGCGGGAAGAATTGTTTTGAAACGGACTGTGGTCGCGGTTGTACAACGCTTCTTGATATGACTGAACCGCTGAATGGTATGCCGTCTGGATTGTGTGCTCATAAAATGGTTTGAGAAAATAAATAAATCACTGATCTGAGAAGAAAAAAGTGACACCAGGATGCTTTTGTGTTTCTTCGACACACCAACGAGTAAGAAAGGAAGCGCACCAGGCAGATGTACTCACTTGCAGGATGGTTTCCCATTCCTTAATGAGAGAGAAGGCACCAGGCTGGCCCATCTTCAGCAAACGGAGTAACAGTCAATACTATGGTTACTAAGTAACCAGGGGGCCGATTGATAACCCATCAGACAAGCACTAGTTCTCAGGCACCTGGGTGTGCAAGGGGTGAAGGGAACTGGATGAATCAAGGCAGGGGGCGGGGAGAAAGCTCCCCTAGAAAGCTCTTAGGCATGGGTGCTGGGAAAGACTGTTAACCCCTTCGTCCCCAGCCAATGAGGATGGGGGAGGGGGGCTTTGCAAACTAGGGTGTAAAATGCTTTCAGAGGCGCTCAGAGGAGCACCTCCTCCACTTTGGCCCGATTTGTTTTGGGGCTTGGGTGCCCGATTTTACAGAATTGAATAATGCAGGGCCTCTCTGGCCAACATGAGTACAGATTGGATTTCTTGAGTGGCCCT